GACTAACCATTAGAGAGGCACTGAGTACCCAGCGTATAGTTGCAGTAGCTTTAAGGTTTTAAAATTGGATTTAAGATTTTTTTTTTTTAAGATTTGAAATTTATCACCGTACAAATAAAGAGGGTGATGAGGGAATGATTATGGGCTCCACAAAGATCCCATGGTTCTATCATACCGGGATGTCATAGTTTCTAGTCTACTTAGTCAGAGGAGGAAGCCGAGCCAATTTGACCATGGGTTGCGTCGTCTAAGGATACCTTATACACTTGGAGTAAATGTTTGCCTAAAATGATAGATTTGAGTCCACCTTAGCTAACATAGGGCTTTGCGCCTTATCGATTTATATCAATTATATTTTATTTATTTATTACTCAAAGATTTAGAGCCATTAGTGAATATATGGACTCTGGCTGTGACTGTAATTTAGTGGTATCATTTTACGGTAAAATCACCCGATTAGAGGGCTCCGGTCATAACCGTTTACCTGTAGTGTTATTTGGTGGCGAAACCACCGATGAGAGAACAAGTGTGACATCCTTATTGGAAGGAGATGATTTGAGAATGAATTTTAGTGATATTCTAGACTAGACATTCGCTCTTTGTGAGCTAAAATAATTTTATCTTGAATATTTTAAGTTTTGGTTATTCTTAAGTTTTGAACTTTTATTAAAACTAGAGCCTCTTAATGATTAATTTTGAGATTTGAGGGCATTTAAATGATAGAGACCCCTTCGATTGAGATTAACTTTCAACACAGTCATCATCGAGGTTTGTAAGTAATTTCCTTTCATTATTTAAACTTTGTCGACTATTTTTTCTTGCAAATAAAGGATTGGTTTGGCTTCTTAGAGTTATCCTATAAATATCAAAACAAAGAGTTTGTATTTGAATAAATGAATCTTCTTTGTAAGAGACCTTAAAGGTCTAATGTGAACATATAAAATTACATATTCTAGTGAATCCAACGAGTGTTAGCTCCGAGAATTTATATTTTTAATTAGTGAACCTTTTTTATAAGAGGCCTTAAAGGCTTAATGTGAGCATATAAAACTAAATAGTCGAGTTAATTCAAAGAGCATCAGTTCAAAGAATTTATGTTTTAATGAGTGAATCTTTCTTATAAGCAAGTTTTTAAAACAGGACCAAACTGGTTGGTTTAATCAAACCCGATCGGCCAAATCAACTGGAACTCAGTCAGCTAGCCGGTTTAATTCCCTAGAAAAACTGGTTTTGCACGGAACCGGGAATAACTGGCTCAATCTAACGATTCGACCGCTGAACCAAAAAATTAGTGTTGGTTTATAAAAACTAGGGTGTTCAAAAAGCGATGGATTTCAGCCGTTGATTTTAAATCCAATGATCCAAAACTCCAAATTGAACTTAAAAATTACAATGACACCTATTTTACTACTTCAACTTCCCTCCCAATCTCATGAGCCATCCCCGTCTTGTTCCTCTTCCCTTTCCCAAACTCAAAGCTTTACCACTAGCTCGTCCTCTCCGACGAAGGCTTCTCACCACAGCAAGCACTCATTGTCTCCATCAATGCACCCTTCTTTTCTCTTCTACAACATTGGTTTTCTCACGTGAATGCAAGATTTCTTCCCAAAAATATTTAAATTTCTTGATATATTAACTTGAGCTTTTGAAAAATCTTACAACTGAAGTTAAAAAAAAAAAAAAACTTGAGCTTTTGAGTTTCCAAAATATTTATGAAATGTTCATTACATTTTATAGGGCAATTCATTTTTTTGTATGGTTGTTTGCAAAAGTTTTGTGAAACCCTAATTTTAGTTTTTTTTTTTTAATAATGAATCGATTACTTGCTTGTTGATTCTTAGGATGATTCCAGCTTGATATTTTTCATTTTATGATCCTTTTTAAGAATTTTTATTTTTTTATCGCGATATTTTTCTCCAACAACAGTTAAGACTTATGATGGTTTAATTATTTGTTTTTTTTTAAATCTCAAGAAACAGCGATATATTTCTTTAAACTTATATTCTAAAAAAATAGGTAAGAATAAATATAGATTTTATAAGTTAGTTATTAGATTAGGAAGTCCTTGTTAATGTAGTTTTAAATTAATAATAAGGGTTTATTAGGTATTTAGGTTATTTTTTAATTTTTTTTATTTGTGAGTTAGTATTTTTTAAAAAATTTAATTAATTTAAATGAAATTGGGATTAATTTAAAATTATAGACAAAATTTTATCATGCCTCGAGTTGGTCGCCAAATTGCCTTCATTCACACATGTCAATGCTGCCTTGATTTACGTGCATGAAATTTTAATTTTTCACTGATCAACAACTCTATACAATATTGGTGTCGATTTAAACTATTTCAGTTGCTCCAAATGCCCCGACCCTATCCATTTCACAAATAGAGGCTATTTTGATGATTTAGGTTTTTGGTTGAAGTGCGTCAGGCATGTTTTATGCAACGTCGTGCTCTTTCTCTTTTGAAACTCATCGTGCACGATCGATTCAATCTTGACACTAGATTGAGGTCAATAAATGATAGTAAAGCAATGAAGGTCGGAGGACTGTAGTCGGACAACGGAGGTTAGAGGACTATAGTGGGGTGACGTTGGTTAGAGAATGGTGATGCAACGATGGCAATCAGGCGATATTTTGATGGTAGAACTTGGGTGGTGTCTCAACAGTAGCATTAGATAGTGTTTCAATGGTAACGGTCGGGCAATGGCCTAACAGTGGCATTGGGCAATTGTCCAACAATGACAATTGGGCATTGGCCCGATGGCACTGATCAATTATTGGTCTGACGCTAATGGTCGAACAATGGTCCAACGGTGGTGCTCAGGTGATGGTATATAGAAACATAGAGCTCCATTGAATCTCAAGCCAAAACTATGTTCCAAGTCCCCCCTCCATATAGAGAATGGAAACCTATTTATAGATTTTTGTGAGTGGCATACTTGTGAATATGATGAAAATCTGGAACATTCCATTAGATGACCCGTATTAATTCTCTTAATCATAAAGTATTCATTCATCATTTAAGTGCCTTAATATTGTTGAAATTGAGTAATCTTAGACTCGTTAGATTCGACTCATTGAGACACTTGATTGGATTATAAGCATGCCAAATTTGGAGATCATTTGGTTATCCAATTAATGCCTTAAAATTTTTAATTATGCTTCAGGCCCTTGATTTGGACTCATTCATACTCGGATTGGGTTACTTTTGGTATCATTGCATTCATCAAATCGATCGAGACGTTCAGTTCAATTATAAGTTTGCTGAAATCTGAATTTGGATTGTCATGAATTTAACTTTAAATATTTTAAATATACATTGAGATTCACAACGTATTAAAACATAAGTTCTAAAGAGTGCATTGTTCCAGCTCAGGCTGTTTGCTACAAAGTAAAATACAAGCTGAATGAAAAAAAAAATTTCAGCAATCTAGACTGTTTGTGGAAGACAAATTAAAAAAATAAGAGAGTAAGCGAGGAAATGACATGCAATGTAGTAGTTTGGAGAGGATAGAAAGAATTCAGGTCACAGGCTATGATCTTAAAGGTACTTTCGATTGTTTGATCATCATATAGTGACTGAGGATTTATGATTAAAAAAAGAGTAAATTGAGATAATTTCATTCGGTTAAGACAGGCCAATGCCCTACTCAAAACAATAAGATAAGAGAGTGAGGGTTTCTACACATAAGGAGTGTGCATAGGTGTGCGGTATGAAGATGTTGCCAAGTTAAGCATACTTTAGTTAGCTCCTCTTCAGGTTAACCTTGACTTACAAGCTCAACAAAATACCCAAACTTGAGCCATTTGTTGGGCTGAAAATGAGTTGTCTGCAAACAATCCAGATTGAAAGCCTTACTTCTTCCCAATCAAAGCACTTCTCAGAACCAGATTCCCAACAGAAAAGCATGTCATATGTCATTGGAAAGGCCTAGACATCATTGAAAGTTCCGCAGCAAAAATCCTCAACTAATCCAGTCTCTACTACATCTACTTTACCAAACCAGTATACAATCTTGCAGAACACTGCAGTGGGTCATTCATGTATTAGGTATTGTCTGAGCATGTCAACATTAATAAAACAAAAGTTTCATTTTGAATTTAAAAAGCAAATCCAAAAAGAACATGATTGTCTGTTTTAGGAGCAACACAGTGAGATGCATAGAACTCATGCAGTGAGTAGGTAGACTTGGTTTAGAGTACCGAGTTTAAAATTAAATTCCAAATTGGGAATAACAAAATCTGAAGAATGATACAAACTCAAAGTGAAACGCATCTCAATTGAATCTGAATCATTCCTAGTATAGCAACTACATATCCGAAAGACTTCCATATCAATTAAGAATATAAGGCAAATTAAGAGAGCGTAGCTGATATGATCTAGGCCTAGTATTGCACTCTGGCACACAAAAATTATCAGCATTACTTATTGTCATAAACTGCTAAACCTAACATACAAATCTATTGTGTAACGCCTCTTTCCATGGGAAAATTATTATGTGCGGCGTCCGGATTCGTTCGGAGGCAAATCCAAACGCGCCATGTCACCTGGGGCCCGGTGCATCCGGGTGACGTGGCGCGTCCGAATTCGCCTTCGGACAGTCCGGACACCGCACGTAATAATCTCTTCTCCTTTCCATGACACCGCATGATTTTCATGTCATTAGCAAGTCGGCACAATTGTACACAATTGCATGTGGACAATGAAGAGCGTCCAATCAACAACATTCGCCTTCATCAAAACTCTTCCTTCTTTATGCAGATAGATCAACACTAGATTCTAACATGGGAAATAAACATTTTCAATTCCTAAACACCCTGTTGTAGTTCTATGAAATGTGTTTGTATTAATTTAAACTTTGATATGTTGCTAAAATCTGTAACTAGTATCAAAAGTAGTCTTTTAAAATGAGTTGGGAAGATAAGAAGGATAAGGAAGGATGAAACTCTCATTTTTTATATTACTATCAATCCTAGCAATTAAAAAATAGACAGCTTACCGCTAATATCCTCTGTTGCTTATCTTTATTAGAAGTAGCATGAAAAGGTGGGCACCTGCAATGATAGAAAAATTCAACAATCAAGAAACAATTGGGGAAGACACCAAGGAGAAAAAAAAACTTTGCAGTTTCTCAATCATGAACTTAAACACAGTACCAAAAGCATACCCGGAAAGTAGAATATACAATATCACACCCAGTGACCACATATCACTAGCTGCAGACACTTGTTGCCGAGACAGAGCTTCAGGAGAGACATAATCTATCGAGCCAAAAAGCGCTACAATTGGATCAGTAAAATCCTCCACAGAACTCAAACCAAAGTCCATTATCTTCAGAGAAGAACGCTCACTGCTGTTTAAGAACAGACAGTTCTCAGGCTTCAAATCACGATGAACTATCTTGGCTTTATGAAGAGCCCCTAAGCCGCAAGCTATCTGGCGCACTACTTCAGCTGCCTCAACTTCTGAATAGCGTGAATGAGTAATTATTCTGTCAAAAAGCTCTCCACCAGAGCAAAGCTCCAGTACAAGGTGAACTCCATACATGTCTTCATAAACATCATAGAGGTGGATGACATTAGGATGAGGAGAAACATCTTCCACAATCCGTCTCATCACCAGAATCTCATTAGTCAGCAAAGCATCTGAAATGGATACCTGCTTCAATGTTGGAGGTTTCTGCCCGGCTTGACCTCGATTCATTCCTTGGGGTATGAACCCTAACCTTTTGAGTGTCTTTATGGCAACATGCCTCATACTTCCATTAGCCTTGCCTACCCCTCTTCGTACAACAGAGAAACCACCTCTACCAAGAACATCAAGTACCTCATAATCATCAGTGAGCTTTCTATTCTCCAGGCTCGACATTGGATCAAGTGATTGGAAGTTAATCTTTAAGAGGGAGCCGAGAAAGCTTCCAATCCGATTTTGTTTTTTTTAATCACCGCGACTGTACCCTTTAAATAATGAAGAATTGGTCATTCACCGACTTTAAAACCAAAGATAACTGGAAACTAATTGACCAACGAATTGAAAAGGTCGAGATAAATCTTTTAAAAACAATCAATGATAACAGCTCGAAATTGAAAGTGAGGGAGAGAGAGAGAGAGAGGAAGAGATGTACGTGATGAATACCTGAAAATCAGCTAGGGTTATGAGCCAAGGAGTCAAGAAACATTCATCAGTTAACAAAATCTGAAATTAAGGCGAGTCAACAGCAATTCTGATCTATGGAGACAAAAGTAGTAATCTTTAGAAGAGTTTCTTCAAAACAAAAATGATGTTAGAATTGGGTTTTGAAACTAGATGGTCCCAACGAGGAACTTCCCAAGCAGAGGTTGACCAATGAAGAGTCCCCAGATTAAAAAAAAAAAAGGATTTCTTATATAAAAAGAAACCGTGTGGCGAGAGAGAGAGAGAGAGAGAGAGGTGAAGAGAAGGATTATAAAATATGGACGAAGAGAATAGAGCCAGAGAGAATGACGAACGAGAAGACAAAGACAAACGAGAACAGAGCGGGACCAAAAAGACGCGCGAGGAGCTGAACGATACCGGCCCAACGGTAATTACTTATTATATATAGAAAAAAAATGTTTTTATATTTATCAAATTTAAAAAAAAAATACTTGAGAATATATAATATAGATTTTATTAATATGAGCACATTTAAGATAAAATTAGTATTATATATGGTATTAAATGCCTAAGCACAATAGGTATGAAGCTATTCTAAATTTCTAATATTAATTTCGTTAGGATATTCTAATGCAATTTTTTTCTCAAATAAAAAGAAATTCTAAATTATTTTTTATTTAAATTAATCTTTTTTATTTTGTTTAAAAATTTAAATTTAGTTTTTTTTTTAATACTCAAAATAATTTTTATATAGTTTGAGTGTTTTTAAAAAAAATTATCACTATGGCTTTCACCATTGTTGACTGTCATCACCTTCTTGGAATATTTAGGTGTGATTCATAAAATAATATCCCGACGTGTTCAAAGCTACTAAAGAATTTGAAGTTCCTTAATGTGCATGAGGCATGAATCAAGTAAGTTGTAGAGGAGTTTCATCACCTGGTTCCAAAAAAAAAATGTTGAATGTGGGATTTAGAGTTCGTTATAACTAGAGCAGTCTAAGGCCTGAGAGATTATTCTATGCAGACGCCGGACATGAGAGAACCGTCCGGTTTTCTCTCTATGTACAATAAAACGCAGTTATTGTAGCACCTGCACTTTTACTGTAGACAGATAGAAAATCGGACGGTTCTCTGTATCCGATGTCCGCACAGAAAAAAAGTCCTAAGGCCTTATGTGAATGACATGTCAGCAATCCATAGGAAGGGTTTTTACCTATATAAAGTCCTAAAATATCCCTATATGACTAAGGCCTGGGAGAGCATCTTGCTTAAAGCTATTGATCAATAGTGTTCATTAATATATATTTCCTATAAGGCCATCCAATGCAAGATATTATTCTTGTTAAAATTTTAATGAAGCTCTCTAATAAGCCAGCCTTAATGAGGGCAAAGAGGAAAATTGTTTAGGAAAGGTCTCTATCTTATCTAAGTCTCCTAAAGGTTATTAACCACCTGATCAAAGGATAGAAGGTTGTTATCTAATTTTAAATATATATTAATTAAGATACACAGTAATAATTAAAATAATACATCTTAAGATATTATATGGATTTAATATATATAATTTGATTCTATTTTGTTGATATTGATGCACAAATTATAGGTAAAAGATATATAAATCAAATATTTTAATTGTAAATTTAATGTTTAGGTAGTCAATTAAGATAAATAATTGCTAGGTCATGGCCCTAAACATTCATAATAATTAATTTTATTATAATTTAATAATGAATAATTATTTTACTTTGCACATTATTATACTTATAACAAGACTAAAAGAGTTAATTGCTGCACTTTTCAAATAATATTTAAATTTTGCATTTCATTTCTTTCATTTTTTTTAATTTATTGAGAAAATTACAATTTTTTTTTGAAAAAAAGTAGGCTAACTTATCTTAAAGACAAATTATTAGTTTATATGTGTAAGTAGTTGTTGCCATCAAAGTCAATTAGGATATAACATAGGTATAACAGAACATATTATTGATAAATTTTAAATAAAAATATATCTTCCCCTTTTTAAAAAAAAATTTAATTTTAAAAAGGTCCATCTTAAAATCCAGTTATTGTTTTCCTCAAGAATTTGAATAGATAGATCATTAACATTTGATTGGGATTAGAAAATTTAACTTTATATGCTTCATAATACCTGAAATTGGCGAAATATGCCCAATGTTTATGTTCTTAGAGAAAATATTCTAAAATTTATTTCAGACCAATACACCATATTATGCTTACATCCGCACTGTTTGGGAAGAACAACATTAATTTCACACTTCCATACATTCACATTCTTCATTGTTGTCAATGTCTTTTCATTTACAATTTCCTCAATCAATAATGTAACATGATCAAGATAGTAACACTCATTTGAAAAAAAATCAATTTAAGCTTCGTTTGGGATGAATTTCTTACAGCTTCTTAAAGCAGCTTTTAGTACAAAAAAATATTTTTTATACTAAAAAGCTGCTTTAAGAAGCAGAAAAAAAAGCCGTTCCAAATGAAGTCTTAATGGAAACTTCACTAAACATGGGTAAGGTTTTTTTAATTTTTTTGGTATCATGTATCACATGATTTTGGTGAATCTTGTCATTTTGATGGAGCTCGAACATGAACTTAAATAAATGATAGAAGGGATTATTTTGAACCTTGTTTGAACATATGTTTAAATCATATTCAAATGATATGTGAATCATGATTATATATAGTTTGAACATGGTTAAAACAATTGTTCAAATAAAATTTGAATATGGCTCAAAACATATTTAAATATGGTATAAATAAGGTTTGAATTATGTTCAATTAAAACATGTTCATATATATGATTCAAATAATATGATCCTTTGATAGTGAAGTTATATATTAATTTGTTATTTTATAAAGGTGAATTAATTATTAAGGTTCTTATATTATATGGAAGATAATGAAAATAAGACAACTAAGTTGGATGGACATTCTTATACTCATAGAACTTATTTATAAAGTTATAAAGATTAATAAGAATTAATTTATCTAAAATTAGAGGTGATATGCCACTTTGGTGGTGTATAGCCACCCTTTTAGTTCCTCTAGCAGAGTTATTAGCATATTATGATCTTGCTTATTTCTTGAATGAGATATTTATATTCTTTCAATGCTAGTTTCCCACATACATGTCTTTAAAGTAGGGTAGGGGGTATCCATATATTTTTGATATTTCAAAATGCTTTTTTTGCCCCAACATATATGAAAAATCAAAAGAACTCATTAATTTTCTAGTCATAAAGTGGAGTTGTAATATCCTCTGGACACCTTAATATTGAAGCATCCATGGATCCACAATCACTTATAACGAGTATGCCCATAACATTACCTACTTTGCATGTGGTGTCCACATCATCACCTACATCAATGGAATATTGTGGATTAATTGATCTTTTATCATCATCATTTGCACAAAATCTATAATTGAAATATTTTTGGGAGCCAAAGACATGTATGTGAGAAACTAGCATTGAAAACTAATATATATTTTAGGTTAGGAAATTTGAATCAGAACACATTTGTACTTTGGGTGTTCGATGAAAAGACCACCAATAGATTCAACCATAACTTATTAAACAAATGATCAAGGAGAAGCTCTTCATATATGATCCTAATTTGGAGCCAATTATATTTATATCAAATATGAAGAGTGATGATGACATTAACATATCATATGAGAAGGCTTGGCGATGATGTGAGTAAGCTATCACTTATATATATGAGTCCCCTGAACCATCCTTTTAGAAGTTACCATCACAACTCATTATGATAACAAAAATACATCTAGGGATAGTTATTGATCTTCATTTTAATAGTCATAATGTTCCAAGCATATTTACTTCTTTTTGGGTGTTCATATTCAATAATTCAAAAATGCATGTCACCCAATATTAAGTATGAATGCAATAATTTTAAGTACATTTTGGATATACTTTGCTCATGATATTGTAATAAGATGCTAATACTCAAATTTATCTAGTGACATTTGTAGTAGTTGGTTGAGAAAATAATAAATCATATATGTATTTCATGACTAAACTAAGGGAGTCAAATGCATAGAAAAAAATTAGTGTTTTTCTATTATTGACATAACAATATCATTAAAATTTTATCAACCATTTTTCTAAAGGCGCACCATTAGCTTGTACTTATAATATCATAATAAATGTCATGATATGATTGTTGTTATAGAGAATATCACTTGGTTTCCAATATTTAAAGAAGAGTTGTTCTTTAGATGCTTTGATGAAATATGTATCAAATCAAGAATTCAACCATATTTGTATATTTAGAGAATAAGGTTAACTTTGAGTAGTGAGCTTATTCTTTCTCCCATAAAAATCAATGCAACTTGATGATAGTTGATATTTCAGAGAGCTTACAGAATATAACCAAAAGTGCATACTCCTACATAGAGACTAATTTATTGAAGTTTTTGAGAGACATATTGCAAAAATAGTTATTTGACATATGCATCATTGTAGTGAATATAAAAATATTTTAACTAAGAAAATTGATCAAATAGTGAGAAAAATTTGAATATGGCTCAAACTTTGATTATTTAACTCATTAGTCAATTTGAATAATGTGTACTTGATGTTGATGTTAATAGAGATGTTGATTTTCAAGAGAGAACATGCACATGTAAAAAAAATTGATGTGATAGGTCTCCCGTGCAAGCCTGCATTAGCTATAGTTTAGGATTGATATAATTTATGTTCAAAATATCATAGTCAGAAGGCATGATTAGCTAAATCTAGAGAGAATATATATTTAGTTGAAATGAGGACACCTGGGAGGCTCCATATGAAGTAAACAAAGTTGTCATCCTACCTCATTTTGTAAGTTGAAGAGTGGTTTTCCAAGGAGAGAAAATATAAGGCGTTCAAAGGGGGTGAAAGATCTGGTGCAATGTTGTCACAGCTAATGTGGGGTGGAAAGCCATAATTTAGTTACTTATTGTGACACCTTTTGATCTAATGAAATGATCAGATCACTTAAACATATAATTAATTAACTCATCCATTAACCAAAGACAATTAGAGCTACTAAAATCTAAAATACAAAACAAATTAACATGATTCATTGCATCAAAATATAAATAGAATATCTAGCTAACTTTTCAATCATCTATATATCATAAACAATTAGAAACTAGATCGCAAAAAATAATATAGTAGACACTCATATACAAAGGATCATTCCTCAATACTTTCTATTTTGATGGGCCTGTACCCTTTTCTATAATACATAAAGAACGGGATAAGCACAACTAGCTCAATATAGTCCCTCCCTTATCCATCAGAGATATCAATATATAGTTCAAAATATTAAATAATAAGTAAAAGAAGAGGCAAAAACTTAAACAAAATACTAATAATAAATAATTTTTAGAGTTTAGTATACACTTGTATCCATAATCCTTGTTTATAATTTTATTGCCATTTTCATAGAAGTTTTCAATACTTTACATAACACATGTTATTAGAAGATCATTAGCTTTTTAGTTGCACATGACTTGTCCATTTCATCAGAGTTATATAGAGACTCAAAAATTTATAAGATTCGATTTAGAATCTCATTTATGCTTAATTCATTAAAATATTAACATATGCAATGTAATGATTATAATGCACATGTCCTGATACATGTTTATAACTCTACTTCCACTTATGCCTTCCTTTAACCCCTCACACCTGCATATAGCAAGTAGGGCCCAAATCAAAATAAAATCATGTCACATAACCTCCAACACACACTTTCAACAAGTGGTGCAAGAATCCCTCCCACACTTGCACTAGGTAGATGGGGCTAGAACAGAACACATAGGGATCTTATAACATATCAGATAATGCACTTTTTCACAAATTAGAACATCTCCAATGAAATGTTATGCATAATACAAATGCAATGCAACGATATTTAAATTAGAAACTCAATGCAATGCTCAGATAATGCATGAATTACTAGTTAAAAGCTACATTACTTGTAAAACATAATACTCATTGAACTTTGTCCATTCAATTTCTAACTTTAAGGGAACATTCATAAAAGCATTTTAAGACTGTTATATTTTCCAAAAAAAAGTCTTAGTTCAATAATATACTAAAACATTCACATAGGAGAAATCAACTGGTAAAACTTCAATTTTATATAGTCAAAATGCTTATAATAAGAAATACAACAACAAATTAAAAGTTATGTGGTGAAACTTCATAAAACTCAAGAAAAATACATTTTTATTCATAACTTTTCATAAACTTAATGAAATTGAAATTAGATATAGGGGTTTAAAAGTCTATCATGTGCTCTACAATATCCTAAATAAGACAAACAGATAAATCCCAAGTTTTGGTCTCCTAACTCCGTCTCATTCTTTCTCTTCTCCAGCAAAATGGATGGGTGAGGATTTTTCGAGATGGTTTTAGATATTTTAATATTTAAAAACCACTGACTTAACCTAGCGTGACGACACTCAACTTCCTAGTGTCGCTGCACTACTAGAGAATCTTCTAGATTCTCCCATAATATCTCCACCTAAGACTCAGTGTCATGGCGGCTTTCGCAGCGGTGTCACTCGGCGCCACAGCGTACACTCTTTTCCCTCCCCAAACAAAGAACTGGATGTCGCAGCACTGCAAATTCTGACGTCGTAGCGCCTCAGGGAAAAATTTTAATGTCTTAAATTACATTTTCAGCTCACTTCTTGAGAGGTCTCATTGAGCACTCTAAAACTCATAAGCATTAATTAAATCAAGATTAAACAAATATTAGCAGTAATTACTTGAATTTCTTGACAAAGGATATCACACTTATAAGGCCAAATGCCTATATATATATATATATATATATATTCTTTGATTGATCAGTTTTATTCAGACCTATCATGTGTTAGTTTTTGGATTGCTCCCAATTGTATTATGGTTATTGTATTTCACCATATTATGTTGTAGCTACTGGATTACACTCTATTGCTTATATAATCTACTTTGTTATGGACTTATAGAAAGTGTGATTGCATTATGTTATATCAATATTATAATTTAGTGTTAAAACTATCAAAATCCACTATGTATATGTTCTAGGTAACTTTTGCTTGAACCATGATAGAGTGAACTTCGAACTCTATTCAAACACTATTCAAACACAATTTGAATAAGGTTCGAACCTAGTTCAATCCAATTTCGATGACCTTGTTCAAATTAACATTACAACATACTTTAAATGAGTAGTTTGTGATCAAAAGATATGAGCATTTTATTTGTTGAAGATGGAACTTTTATAAATATTTATACTAAGAAAATAAATATCATTCATTAATGTTTTCAATTTAAAACATATATGAGGCATATCGAAGGTCCAAAGTGTCAACGGGTTTTTATTATATTTATTTTGTAGCCACTAGGGACCACTTTATGTTTTTATATTTTGTTTATGATTTTTACTTCTTTTCCTTTCATTGCAATTGGAAATACAAAATTTTTTTGGTATCTTTAAAACTAAGCATTGCATACAAGTGTATTACATGAATGATGACGACCGACGATACACTTTATGTTTGTTATGATTTTTATACAAGAAAAATGTGACACATTAAATAACACCCTTTTTTATTAATTTTAAAAATATTTATTTTATCTAAAAAATAATTTAAAAAGTTAAATAACAAATACAAGTATGTCTATAAATAAAATAAAAAAAAATTAACTGTTGAAACCTTAAAATACCCAAATGGCCAGTTAATCTTATAACTTAATGAGAGCTAAAAAAAATGAGAACCGTGGATTGATTCATGCATCAAACCGCTCTGGTTGATTGACTTCAGCTCCTTCAGCCTCGATAGGTCTGAAATTTCAAAGGCAAAGACATTTTATTCCGCCAGGAAGGAAGGCAAACAAGAGAAGCATCTTTCATCTTTTCTCCCAGTTTCTCCCCACAGATCATTGGTTTACCTTTGCGTGGATTAGAGTTATTGATCAACCCTTTGAAACCAATTGCTCTTGCATACCCGACCGGGGTTAGGGTTTCTAGATCGGTCGGGGGGTGCGTCAGAATGGTGCTGTTGGTTGGGAACACACACGTTAGTTCAGGCGCTGCTGTCTCGTGGCCCTAAAGGAGCGGGAGTTTCACGACGTCTTCGCCGGTATCACTGGGAAAATCCACGGTTAATTTTTGTTTATTCTTGATTTTAGGGTTTTATGAAAAGTTTAAGTTTCTCTAGGTGGTTTTCTTGATTGAATGGGATTGACATAAGTTCTCCATTTAAGGAGCCAGTTTCTCTTTATACAGTCATTGGGCAATATTTATTCCACGTCGCTTTTTATTCTGAGCTGGGGTTCATGATGGTTTTTTTTTTTTATTAATATCTATTATTTGAAAAGTTTTCAAGTTCGTTTTTTCTTTTTACCATTCAATCAGTAGAAGACGAGCTATATAGTATATGATGATTTTGCGTTTGAGTATATTATATAACCTACGCCTAACATATTCTAGCAATAAGAGCTTGGCCAAAGCAGTCACCAGCTCTCCATAGGCACTCGCCAGCTGAGGAACAAACTCACTCTGGTCGGTGAAATCAAAGAGTAATCCCAACATGAGCTTATAGGAACTCATACATATCCATCAAGCTCTTACAGCTTGGCGGATCACCCTCCAAAAGCCACTCGCCCTCACTAGATCAGCAAGTCGCCACTAATACTCTCCATCTAGCTATAGGGAATGAGCATCTGAAGAGGTTAAGAACCCAATCCTTTAGACTTGGCCATCTCATTCGCTTCGTGGTTATTATGACCGAAGGGGATCACCTTTTACATTGAATGGCCTAGAACTATGCACAAAGACTCGCCATACAAATTGCCACAAAAATTCACCAGATGACTTGCCTTGAAGCTGGGGACCAACCAGAAGCAGAAGAACCATGTGGAGATCATATAGAACAAGTATCATTTACAATCTATAATGGATTTCTATTAATGATGTGCTCTTTTACAATTTTTTTGTAGCTTTTATTGTGGCCTCAAAAACCCTATAAATTGAGGGCGAGGAGCATATTTGGATCATTTTGGCACTATTGATTCCCCATAATATTCTTGAGTTCTTAGCTTTTTTTATTCTTTTTTCAAATTTCCTTAATATTTTCTTTTCATACTCACCCTAATTTTTAGGTTCTCATCTAAAGAGGGTACGCCAAGAGGGGATACATGACCGACCATTTTCCATAGAAGGTTGAAAACCCTAGGCGCTCACTTCAGTACCAATGCAGATCCACTTGTAGTGCACCATCAACGAGGAAAAAATCCACCTCCTCTGCGAGCGAGGAGAGCAAAAACTAATATGACTAATGCTTTGTCCAAGGAGGCAACATAGGCAAGGCCACCTCCAAAGTTCAAAATGCTTAGCCTAGAGTCATACTGGGGAAGGACTGACCTAGCTGATCATGTTGTCAACTTTGAATCAATAACATCACCGCTCTATGTCGATGATGCTTTGCAGTGTCAATTGTTTTGCATTGGCTTCAAAGAGTTAGCACTCCAGTGGTTCACATCGCCTGCTCATAATGGTGATCACCTCATTCACGAATTTTAAAAAGATGTTTTTTAAACATTTATGAGTGCCAAAAGCCTCAAAAGAACTACGTAATCCCTTCTCAGAATGTGTTAAGAGTCGGGTGACTGCTCCTAGGTTTGTTAAAAAGCGGGCCGAGCTCGAATCACTCATAGTTTGAGCTTGTTAATTAATCGAGTTTGAGCTCGAGCTCAGTTTTATTCACGAGTTCGAGCCGGCTCATTTATTATGAAAAAGAGAAAATGATTATGATTTAAACTATGATGCACCGAGACGGACACGGTGACACAGACAAGACACGACACGGACACGGGACACAACAATTTTTAAAAATATAGGACACGGGTACGGCGTGGACACGGCATAATATTTTTTATATAATATATAATATATTTTTAAAATATAGGACACGGACATGGCGTGGACAGATGTCACTTTTGAACCTTCATCTAATCCACCCCGCTAGTAGCATAGCTCATTTTGCTAACAAACCAATCATACATCTGAGTACACCAAATTTAATTGATATGAAGTGAAATCAAAATATCCCAATAATAAGACAACATGAATACAACAATATACCAGCTCTCCGGGGGTCCAAGGGGCGCTGCCCCTGGCGGGTTCGACTTGCGGGGGTTTCCGGGGGCAGCGTCCCCGGCACAAATTTTTTTTGTAAGAGTAATTTTGAAGTTCTGCTTGTTTTTAAAGTTCGTAAGTTGTTGTATGGGAAGAACCGAGTAGTAATCTGCCGAGCATGTACCTAGCAGTACCGAGCATGTACCCTAGCAGTAACCGAGCATGTAGCTAGCAATTACCGGAGCATGTACTGAGCGGTACCGAGCATGTACTGAGCAATACCGAGCATGTACTGAGCGGTACCGAGCATGTACTGAGCGGTACCGAGCATGTACTGAGCGGTACCGAGCATGTACTGAGGAATACCGAGCATGTACTGAGCGGTACCGAGCATGTACTTAGCAGTACCGAGCATGTACCTAGCGATACCTCATTTAATAACCATACACGCGTGTCGGACACGCGTGTCCGATTTTAATTTTAATTTTTTTAATTGCGACACTCCAATGCCGTGTCGAACACGTGTCCATGCCGTGTCCGTGTCCGACACGTGTCCGACACTACATACCCTCTCTAAGTGCCGTGTCGGTGCATCATAGGATTTAAACAATAATTATAATAAAATAGTAAAAAGAATGAAAAAAAAAATAAAGAATAATTTAATATAAAGAAATGAATATAATTTTCAAGCATTTTAAAGAAATTTGTATTTAAAATCCTGAATCCTAATATATTTTATATTAATATTTTTTTTAAATGAGCCAGCTAGCAATCTAACGAGTTGAGTCGAGGTTGGCTCAAGACTGGTTTGTTAGCTCATCGAGTTAGGCTTACGAGCCATTTATCGAGCCAAGCCCAAGTTTGCTCATGAGTCGGATTGACTAACTTACACCTCTAATCAATCTGCAGTTTCATTATGACGTTCTAGAGGGAGATGTTTGAGGTAAATGACCTAAAGCCAACTATTTCCTAGGTTGCTGTAACGTATGGCTGTGAGAAGGTCCATTTTTCTATGCCTACATCAGTCGAAGACATTGGCTGATTTACTCGAACTCACTAACAGTCATGTTAACGTTAAGGAGTACAATCGAGTAGTTGAGTCCTCATCCACTCACTCTAGAGGGTTTGCTAACAGGAATAGCCGGCCCCATGGCTGAGAATGCAAGAGAAGTCGCCTAAGGAATCTTAGGGTTGACAGAAAGCCATCCATGCTGCATGATCAATGCCGTCCAAACTACCATAGAGTGTCTCTACAGATGAGGTCACTTAAGATAGCCGAGTTATTGCGCCATAAGTGGAAGAAGTGCCACTCGCCCCCTTCACGGAGAAGTTATAAACCATGCCTCAAACTATTGTGCAGTCACACCCCTATAAAGATAATTGGCAAAGCTCATAGAATCTATCTAGAACATGGGATATGATCATGATATTGATGAATGTTGACACTTCCACAGACTTTTCAAGGACCTCATCAAGTAGGAAAAATTGAAAGAGGTCATATTCAATGTCCTTGGTTGGTGCTTAGGGAAAGCTCCAATGGAGAGCAGCAGAAACGACCCCGTTGGAGTGGTAATCGCCATCTTGGGTGGAGAGTGAGTCGAGTCCTCTGCTGAAGCCATCTCCAAAAGGTTGCGAACATGTGAAGTTAACTTGGCCACCGCCTCATGGACATCAATGGTCGACATTGCTCTGATCACCTTCTGTGAAGCAGACAAATCAGGTAGTGAGGATCCCTTCAATAAGGCAATGGTAATTCCTGATCTGATTGTCAACTACCATATTAATAGTATCTTGATTGATACAGGTAGTTCTATCAATATTATTTACTACATTTGGGAATTCTCTATTTATTGAACCTTCCAATGCAAACAAACCTACGAAATCAATTATGTCCAAATCAGTTTACTTTGAAAGAACCCGTCGAGTTCATTTTTGTTGAGTCCAAGTTCACTGAGTCCCTTATTCGATACATTTCTTCAGTTGGAATTGCGTTTCATACTTGTTTATTTCCATTGTAGTATTTTACATTTCCTTAATGTGACAAATATTAACATGTTATTAAAGAGTCCAATTATTTTGTTCATTGTTCAATTATAGTCTAGTCAAAGCTTTAAAAATTTTTCTTGATTATCTTTGGGCAAGTACTATTGCAACCACAAGCTACATCTACCATATAAATAATAGAAGAGATGAGGAAGAAATATTTTCATTTCATTTCTCTTTAAAATATTACATGTACATTTTCCCTTATAGGCCAAAAAGAATAGAGAGAAAAGGAATACAAGGAGAGGTGACCTCATTCATTGGTCACACTCACACCATCACTCTCCTCGTTTCTAATGCTTGGTGGAAGAAAGCGACCTTATTTTCAAACTTAGGGTCGAGTTTGTTGAGGTAGATAAACTTCTTCAAATAGTACTCGATCCCCCCCCCTTCTGAAATTCAAGCCGGTGATCTCTTCAGACCTAGTGAATCTGAAGGAGGTGTACTTCTCATTGGTCGCCTTAATCTCAACTGACAATTTAGCAACTTGAGCTTTTGCCTGCTCCTTTGTATATTGTGCAACCTCATTCAAGGTGACCTCTATCTTCCAACCTCCTTAAAGATTGCCTTGTTAGTGAGCTCAGCCCTATGTTCTTCAACCTTGTTTTCAGTGGCGAGGCAAACTGTATCACTTAGTGGTTTTCCTTAGAGATCCTACCTTCACCATAGCTTGTCGATGACTAGGAGCTATGGCAAATGTAGGTTGCAAACATTCCAGAGTGAATTCATCATGACAAACCCCAATTCTTTCTCTAGGATTACTTTGGTGATGGCTTCCAACAACCTTGAGAAAACAACTCACCTGTGGTCATTGCTCCTCTTTAGATGGTGGATGGAGCTCTCCTTACCTTCAGAGTAGGTCACCTCCTCAGAACATGACAACTCAGAGGAGTGGCTCGACTCTTTCGCCTCCTCAGGGTCAGGGTGACATGCTTTCCCTTGTTCTCAGCAGCTGCCTTGGGCTTGCTTGCCACTTTTGCCACTTGGTGGCTTCCTCGTTGATCATTACCCCCCCTGTGGTGAGTAGGTGGAGTAGCCTTGGCCACTGCTACCATTATCTCCTTCATGATCCTGCTTGATTCATTCTCAATATTGTTTTATATCTTTGCTTGATCATTAAAAACATGGCATTCAGTTTCAATGATGTTTTATATCCTTTAAATATTCTAATACAAAATAAAATTCAAGACCTATTTTCCAAGAAAAATCCTACAACATAATGGTCCTAATTCACTTAGGAATAGTAGCCTCAACCTCGTCGCTTGGGTATCCCTTAGCTATTGGAAGCCCGTGTGAAATTTTTTGTTCGAGTATTATCCATTTGCAATCATTTGAATTATTGTTTGAGATATGTGCGCAAGCAGAATCCTAAATGTTCAAAGATCTCAATTCTATCATATACAAGGTTATAAATTAGTTGAAAGCAACTCAAAACTAGTGAACTTCTATGAGTTCTATCATTTATGTGCCTTTTTATTTCATCACAAGGGATGTGCATCTACATCAGCAAAAAAAACTCACATCCTCCATTTTATGCCATCGATGTCACATTTTCAAATCAGTTTAAGTCTCTAGTCACTAATGTTATCCTCATAAAAAATCGTTGTCACTAAATCATTAAACAACAATAAAATCAACATCATTATAATGATCTAATACAAATTATGATATCAATTTAATCACTAATGACATTAGGGTTGCAAGCAAGAAAAATTAGGGTTTAAAAAATTTTTAAGGGTTTCCAAAAAATTAAGGTTTAAAAAGAAATTGAAAATTTGGAAAATTAAATTAAGCTAGGGTTTCTAAAACAAGTTTATTAAAGGATATATGGGCCATAATGCAAAAAAAATGGGGTAAAATTATTTTTATGAACAAAATTTGTAAAATAATAAGGAACACTTGAGGAGGAAATGTATTTGCTAGAGGAGGTGGCAGTGGCGTGTGTCTCATAGGTGATCTCAACGGTGTACGGACGACGACTGCTATAGTGGCGATTGAAGTCATGCTGTAGACTGGAATGGTGGGCTAGAGCTCGTGGGCGTGCGTGTGTAAAGTGTTCAACTGGGTTATGGTTGGGTATTTAGGCTTTTACTTTTAAGTTTTTAAATAAAAAACAAATATGAATAAAGCATAGACCTTAATACCGTGAGGCTAGGTGGTCTCAGTGAAATTGAGGCTTATGCTTTAAATTGAATGCTCGAGGCATGCACCTCGAGGCATGCACCTCGAGGCATTTTGCATATAAGGTGCGTCTCGTATTGTGTAATTTTAAACAGTGCCTACAACAAAGGAGCTCTCCTTAATTAAGTGGCAAGTCGACTCCATATTAGCTTGAAGAGTCGTTGCGTCCTTCCTCAACTGAGTGTTAGACTCACCCTTGACAAACTCTAGCGACCTGCCAGCCCCCTCACCGATGTTGCCCTGGACGTTGAGGACTCTTTCCATTAGATTGATGTGCTCGACCAAGGACTCCAAGATGAGTGGCCCATGTATTGGGATCCTATCGCCTAGGGAGCCAATGGAGAGGGAGAGGGGCGTGCCTCAACTATTGTCGTTGGGTGAGTCATTAGAGTTTCTTGGACTATACTTAGCTTTGATACTTACTCCATAACTTCCACCAACAACTCATCCTTCCTTTCTAGTGGTGTCGTAGGGGTGTTCTCCCCCAAGGGGGATGCTCTTTTTATCAATAACAAAGGATCAACAACAAAAGAGTCTCTATTCAAAAAATTTAAAGAAATTGCTTGAAATCTATCATAGAGGGTCATTGTCTTTATATTCAGGCCTGGTGCCCATTGCGTTAAGGCCATTTCCTCAAACTCATTTGGCAAGTGTCCTAGTCAGTGTTTTAAAAACCAGATTGGTCGGTCCGACTGATTCAACCGTGAATCGGTCTGAAGGCCGGTTCGATTCAGCCTTGAAAATAGGTTGTGCACCAAATCGGCCAAAACCGCATGAACCGCCAATTCAACCGGGAACCGGTCCCAGTTTTCTAAAATTGGCTGGTTCAAAATTTTTAATTTAAATAATTAAACAAATTATTTAATATTAAATAAATGTTAAACTTAATCAATTAATACAAATATTATATATTAAAACTCTTAAATAAATATTAAAGATAATGATTAAATATTACTTACAACATTCTCACATGGCTCCATTATTCCATCTGAGCTTCTATCATGAGTAAAAGCAAAAAGCTATATAAATTATATAAAGCAAAACATCACAAGTAATGTGAGATTAAACCATACAAAGCAAAAAACTTATCTTTGGTTTCATGTATATACTATACAAAGCAAAAAATATATGATTTTTCTTTATTTTGTCATTTATTTTTGCCATTAAATAGCCATACATTCAGATATTGGCTAATTTGACTCATTTAGATGTCATAAAAAATGATAAAATGTCATTTAGGAAATTGCGGGTCTATTCTATATTATTTAAATAATGTAATTTTATTTAGAATGATCAATTGCGATTGATATTTCTTAATTTCGTATTTATTTTGGCCTATGGTTAATTTTTTTTTTGGGACATGCCTATGGTTAATTTGACTCACATTTAGGTGTCGTCCTAATATGATGTTATGTCATTTATTAAATTATTATTTAAGGATGTCACCTAACCAAATAGCTTACATTACTAATAATATAACATAACATTGTGGTTGTTGGTGAACCAAGCAACTCCTAGATCACACTGTTATTCAAATAAAAATGAACCACCCCCTAAGTACATATCTGAAATTTTATTGTAAAGGTTTGCAGATCACAATTTCAAATTGTACTGAGCATATGAACATAATATTTTTTATTAATTCTTTTGCTGCATGATTGTATTTCCTAGGTCTTAGGTCTTACTCTATGTTCATCCATTGGTCCATCTTTGTTTTCATATTGTCATTATCTTTTTCAGTGGCAATTTAGTCTTTTTTGTTGGACCTGAAAGTTATTGGAAGTCCAACGGGATTACCCATTGGTCTGTCAAAATAAAGGTGTTTATTTGAAATTTGCTGGAGGAAAGAGGTTTGGTTTTTATAGATCTATAGTACTTGGAGAATGTTATGCTTATAATAGCTCATGCTGTTATATGCAGTTACACACAAGCAACTGTTCAATGATTGTCTACTCAAGATAAACAAGGAGTTGGATTTTGTCCAATTTGAGCTACGAGCATGCATGGACCAATATGATGGAAATATTTATTATGGAATTGTTAATAATGTTTCTGATGAGCAATCCAAGCTTGGGACAAAGTACTCTGTTCCACAGATTGTGTTCTATAAGGCTATTGTAAGTTTGATATCCTCATACTACTGAGATGATAATGTGTGCAATTGCATATTCGTGAGTTGCGGGAAATTTTTCTATACATATATGTTTATTGAAATCTCAATTCTTTTGTAAAATAATGTAAATTTCTTTTGGAACCATAATGATATTACCCCTCACATTCATTCAAAAAAAAAAAAAAAAAAAGCTTAATCCAAAATAACTAGTTGAGTACCTGTTCTTTTTCCTGCAAGTGTTCTAAATAAAAATTTAAGATATGACAAAATTTCCTTGATATCTAATTAACGTGAATGTTTTTTTTCAGCAACAGTATTAAGTTGTTGCTACCTAATTGGACTACAAAATTATATTATCTTTCAGCATTTCCCTGCTACGTCTAAAATAAAGTATTTCCATGAAGGAAGCATTCTGTATTACATACGAATGAGGTTCTGCAACATACATGTACTTATTGATGCAGTAAGCTTAGTTAATGTGCTTTGGTTTCTGTATTCTCCCTGCTTTTTAGCTTATCTCATATTATTTACATTTATATATAACTGTCCGTCTCTATCTTTTATTCTGTTTAAAATTCATTGTTTGAAATCATAAGCCATGAAGATGCCATGCTTTTTAGGAAGGATTCTTGGACGGCTGCCACTCAGTTGCTTGGGCGTGTTATCATTTATTCCTAGAAAGTTGCACATTAGACCTTCACTAATTACTACAAAGATCATGAAATATATGCATATTTCCCGGCCATAAGCAATTGACAAATGTTTTTATGGTAGACATTACTTTTTAAAGTATATTTACAGTTTTTGGATGATTTTTTTTTTATTTTGTCTATGTTTTTAATGCGTTTCTACTAGTATGTGTTAACTTGCCATTATTTATAGTAATCTACTATTTGTCAATCTCATGCAGATAGAAGCAATTGTTTTGAATGGAATGAATCAAGGATATATAACCAGCATTGAAGCCCTAAATATTCGCCTTGAAAATCAGGTTTTGATTCGTGTTTCTTTTATTATTCCTAATTAATTAAATTCTTCCATGCTTTATGTCATTTTGATTACAAAAATTGTTCTATGATAAGCGTTGTATTATATATATATATTATAATAGAGAGAGAGAGAGAGGAGAGGAGAGAGAGAGAGAGAGAAGACCAAAATGGTCTCCAACTTTGTTAGGGATCAATTTTGATTCCTCAGCGCCTTAAAAAGGGGTGTTTTTGTCATAACATCAAATTTTGAGGTTAATGGTATTTTAGTCATTTATTAAATAAATTATTTATTAAATGTAATTTCAAGTTATATAATTTTTATATATGTATGTATGTATGTGTATTATATATATATATAATATATATATATATATAATATATATATATATATAATATATATAAAGAGAGAGAGAGAGAGAAAAATACCAAAATGGTCTCCAACTTTTTTTAGGGATCAATTTGATCCCTCAGCGCCTTAAAAAGGGGTCTTTTTGTCATAACATCAAATTTTGAGGTTAATGGTATTTAATCATAGGGTATTTTAGTCATTTATTAAATAAATTATTTATTAAATGTTATAATAATTTTTTTTAAAAAAATTTATTAAACATTTCTTAATTAAAAAAGATTAATAATTATAATTATAATTTAAGATCATTATGGACTAGAATTATTAATAATTTTTTTAATTAAAGAAATGTTTTATGATTTTTTAAAAAAATTATAATTACTTGACAATTGTATTTAATAAATAATTTATTTAAAAATGTCCAAAATACCCTTTGATTTAACACCATTAATCCCAAAATTTGATTTTATGATAAAAATGCCCTTTTTTTAGGAGTTAGAAACCAGTTGTCCTCAAAGAGTTTGGGAACCATTTTGATTCCTCATAAAGAGTTGAGGGACCATTTTGGTCCCCTCTCTCTCTCTCTCTCTTTCTCTATATATATATATATATATTGTTTATTTTGCATGTTTCTCCTACTTAAATGTTTATGATCATCTCATCTTTTATTTCAGGAAATGAAAACTTTCTAAGATCTAAATGCAATCTTTGCAGTTGAATTAAATCATCCCTCCAGATTTAATATGAAGCTGCTAGATTATGTTTTCCCCCATATTATTATATAGGCTGTTTGGTATGAAAATGGGTTAAGACAAAAGGAGTACATGTATCTTAAATGTTTTGTATGAAGTAAAGCAACGAGTTTTGGTGGTTTTGAACTAGACTCAAAATTGATTTATTTTCTATTCTTACTGATTTGTCTCGATATTGCTCAAGTCCAAACAGGCTTGAAATAAATCGCAGACAGGTTTGAAATAAATCATGAGTTAGACTTAGACTCGACATTAAAAATAAGTAAGTTGTTGGAAGGAGGGATTGAACCCGTTGCAAAGCTTTTATCAGTGAACCAACTAATAGTTCGTTTATAGTGTGCATCAATTATAAACAAATATTTAACAATTTGTGAAGTAATTCGAATTGAATATCAAGCTTGCAAGTACAAACTTTGAGCTAGCACCGCAGTTCAAAACTTGACCCTAGTAGTTAGAATTTACTTTGAGTTGAATAATCAATCTAGCAAGTTTTTTTAATGTTTTTCAAGTTTTGAGTATTCTTATTAGCCTTAATTCCAATACCTCAATCTTCATATTTCCCTGGTTCCTGTAAAGTAGCTGTGGCCGATAACTTGAGCTTCAACCTTCATATTTTCCTGATTCATGTAAAGTTGCTTCGGCCTATAACTTAAGCTTCAATTTTTCCTCTTCAACTTAACCTACCCTGCAAAGTAGATCCTGCCAAATTGGCCGCATCTACCTTATTTTATGGTTAATATCATCTTGTCAACCTTTCATTGCTATTTGGGCATCCTTCCTCTCCGTTGCCCGATTCATTGCATGTCTGCAATGGCATGGATCACAAAGTATTTTTATATCTAGAAGAAAGATGCACTACCAAATTTCGTTTAGAATTCTATCACATGTGAGTTTATTGTTGTACATAAGGAGCTCATTTTTCCTATTGCACTCTCTGAAGCATTCTGCCGTAATCTTTCCTAAACCTTTATGTTGTATTTTTAAGAAAATCTTAGCATGATTTGTTAAACTAGCATCATGCTTCTATTGTTCTAATTGAATGCTCTTTCCATTCATGAGTAATTTAGAATTTTTTTGATTTGTTGCATTTTCTCTAGAGGCGCTATGAAAGTGGAAATAGGGGTACTGGGTAGTTTTGGATATTTTGTAGAAGCATCTCTATGATTGATTCAAATATTTTATGATAATTGGCTAGGTCTGTTGCTTTCTGCATAGGAAGCAATTTTTCCATTTTCATTTTCAGACTGCTCTCTGCATAGGAGTCAATCTCAAGATTTTTATTTTCATTAGAGCAGACTTCAAACTTTATCTCAAATCAAGAAAGAAAATTAGTTCCACCATATTTGCTTTATATCCAATCAAACAGTTCAATCTAAATAGAACATACTGCATTTTCTTATGAGAAAAGCTTCACTACTTAACAAACCAACAAAAAAACAAATTAGGGACTTGTTTGATTAGGTGGCTCAATCACACACTTCCCAAGCAAAAGTGTATTGTATTCGTTGCGACTTTTATTGGGTCTCCTAACAAAGTGAACTGCAATTTGGTGTTTTGTGTAGAATTCTTTGTGAAATGTAGCATTACTCTCGCTTTATGTACATTTCAAAAATAAATTTATTCCAAATGTTTGCAAACAACCCCTTAATTCTTTCTGGATGCTTAATACAAGGTGCTAGAAGTATAGGAGCTTGCTTCTTTTTTTGCTAATAACTGACGCTATATTGTGATATTATATTTTCCTAGGTCTCCAGAATTATATTTGTCATATATTTGTTGAAGTGCTGTCTTAAATTTTTGATGAAGACTATCTGGGAGAAACGGGTGAGCTGGTTGAACAAATCAAGAAATTATCACCGGGCAATTTTAGTTGGGTGATTAGGATCAGAGAGGATGCTTTATAGCTCGTTGGGAAATCTAGATATAATTATCACATGATTTTTATGTTTTGATAATCAAAACTTCGGCAGATCCTATGTTTGTGTCTATGCAGTTGACATTTAAGTTTCGTTTAACTATTCATAGGTTTCTAGTTGGGTTTTATCAGGTGTTACATTCCTCTTCATACACTTAATATCCTTACAAATAAGTCAAAGGAAGTGCCGTTGTAAATGTCACGACCCGGCCCGGTGAGCTTCCATAGGTAAGGTGAGAATGGAGATTGGACAGTAGAAATTTTAAAAAAACCTTCATATTACAATGTACAAAACATCTCCAAATATAAAAAAAGAGCCACTATAAATGCCAAGTAAAATTTTTCTTTCATTCTGTTCATCATTCAACTTGTCAACATAGCAATTCAAACATAAAATTTCCAAAACATAAAAGATTTCCAAAAATCTTTCCTTACAATTCATCTTTAGTCCTTCTAACTCAAAACATCAAAAACCAAAAAGAAGAACCTGTCGCCCGTCGTCTCTCTACGACGGTATGTAAATGGTGGTTTATCTGTCATCATCTTTTATCAGGTTCTCCTGAAAAAGTGTCTCATAAGTAGGGTGAGCACAACTTAGTAGATAAAATGACATTCAATTAAATTTAGAGATAAGGAAAGAACTACAACATGCTTCTACTTCTCAATAAATGAACATTCAATATGTCATAACATTTTGTCTAAATTAAACATGCCTTTAAATTCTTTTTCTTTGCATAAACTTGCAATTCTTTCTCCTTAAGCATTCATGCCTCATTAGATGCCTCATATGCATATAACTTAAATATATAATTTCATAACAATATAATATTTATCACCCGTCTCGGAAGCATCATTTGTACTGATCATGTACACATTTAATTGGCCACCTTGACCATTTGGTTCTAACGAACCCCTTTATTATTTGGCTCAAAAGAGCCCCTTTACCATTAGGTCAAAAGAGCCCCTTTACCATTAATACTTCCGCATTAAACATGCACATACAAATATTTCTTATTTATTCATAAAAGCGGCTTATGTATACCATTCATATATATGTTCTCATATGGAATTACATATTTGCTACTTACATGAGAAAAGAGATATGCTCAAATGTATATTGCATGTAGGAGAAGGTATATGTAATACTTGTAAAGAAAAAAACATGAAGTTTACCATTTGGTTCTAACAATGCATAAGAACTTTGCTTTTGTATCATGTGATCATGAACTTCTATATAAAAACATGCTAGCCATAAATGATATTACAAATAGCATAAAGAGAAATACCATTTCTACATGTTTGCAATTAAAAAACTTTCTAAATTTAAAAGAATTTCATTTTACCTACCTCACCACGGTGTGATTTGTCAAATATCCTTACGAACCCTTTCCTTCACGCGATCAATATCTACAAGAGATGTACATAAAGTGTAAACATTAATTTGTTCTCTCTTAAACTTCTAAAAACCCTAATCTATGAACAAGGAACTCATTCATACACCTTACTTAAATTTTCTACTCAACCCTTTTTCCCAATTTAAGATAAATACCATTTTTACTTTCTCTAAATTGGGGCTTAATCGTAAATCTAGCATTTTGGAAACCTCCTTCAAATCCTTTGTTCTCCTCATGCATACAAACCCTCTCTTTCACTTAAACTTAAGCTAACATACAAGAAATTTTTTTTTATTTATTTAATTTAAAATTTAGAAAAATAATAATTTGTGCTGAAGGTATAATATTTGCTTTTAAACCTCCCTAAGTTCATTAGGAACCAACACACTTAAAAGTTTTTTTCATGATTTTCGAAACCCCTAAATCTTGGAGCATGAAATTTTTTTCTAAAAAAAAACTAGCTTCACAAATAAGCTCCATAACATTGTTAAGAAACTTTTCTACAAAGCTATTTTGAAAGAATATGAAAATCGGAGAAAGTCCTAAATTTTAGAATTCATATTTTTCAAGGAATCATCTCATTTTTGTGTTTAGAAACATCCTCTAAACCTTCTCTATCCTTATCTTAAAGAAATTTTGAGTTTCAAAACCCTAGATTTTCCCCCTTAAAGAAAACTCCATAAAAGAATGAGAAAACTCTTATAAACAATATACCTTAACCTTCCTTACGATTTCCCTTCAATCCTCCTCGCAAACCGCCGCCGGAAACCACCCCTAAGGCCACCGTCGAAGCCTCCCCGATGCTTCTTCTCCCTCTCTCACTCGTTCGGGACTCAAGGAAGAAATGGGGGACCGAAACATTTCGGTCCCCTATTTATAGCGGAAGGTTCATTTTTAATTGCCTAATGTTTCGGTCCCCTATTTAGAGCGGAAGGTTCATTTTTAATTGCCTAATGTCCTAAATGCCCTCACTTAACAACTCCTCCACTTACAAGACACTAAGGGCAATCTTGTCATATTGAGAATTCGATGAATTTTTACTTCCAAAATACACAAAATTCAATATGAGTTCTTTATACCGATTCACTCAGAATTTTGCGTACTATTTTATAAAATTTATTGCGTCGAATTTCGACGACTTCCAAATTTTACTTAATCTCGTCGCGGCGCATCGAAATGCGTGCGACGCTGAAGATTGTTACTTTCGAATTTTACAGTAAAATACTAGTTTTGTAAATTATACATCTTGTGTTGCGTTTATTGTGCATTCAATGTGCATGAAAGTCTATTTTTTGTCAAGTATGTGAATGCTATTTTTTTGTACTGACAAACTCTGATAATTTTGTTTCAGGTCCAGGATGGACAGGCTCCACAGGACAGCCAATCCCGCATTCCTGTGGCATTTAAGAGTTTCACGATTTCTCAAAAGGAAAAAACTCTCGGTGAACTCATACGGGACCAGTGGCTGTCCTCTACTTCAGATGGTAAAATTGGACTTGGAGTCCGTTCTTTTCTTGATTTGCGTAGCTGGTTTCTCAATAATGAGGTTGTGCCATGCCATGTCTGCAATGAAGCTGCTATAAAGGTCTGAACTCCTGTAATTTCGAATTTTATACAAGTTGTGACTTTTAAGTTGAACTGACCTTTTACTAAAGTCCATAGCAAGTTTATGATCTTTTTCTATGCATCTAAAAAAATTTTCTGACTTATGCATCATAAAGGACATTGTAATTTTTATGATTATATTTGTTCCTTTTTTCTATCACTGCACTGGTGCTATATTTGATGTTTCATAACTTTAAGCTAAACGCTTTAGGATTCATTTTGTGGAAGAGATGACACGTTATGTTTTCTTGAAAAGGTAGTGACGTGAGTTTTCATATTTTTTGCAAGATCATTGAATGTGGTTTCCAAGTTTTTTCATGCTTTATACAGAAGAATCTTGTTATATTCCTTTTTTGCTTATTCTGACCTTTCCTTTTCTGATAATTTGGCTTTTGGCAAGTTATTTGGTTTAATCAAATGATAATTATTTTGAGTTTTCATTTTTCTAAGGGACGATTTGAGATTTGTCAAACACAAGCAATGCCTAAACAATGTCTAAAGATCCTAGCTCTTATGCAATATGCACAATACCACTAATTTTAAGTCACGAAGTACCTCTACTATGTGCTTGTTTGAAAATGTTCAATTCTGTTTCATGAGATTAAAAATGATCAAAATTTCACATGGACCTTGAAAACCATGGAAAGAAAAGTTATTCAGTTTTAGGACTGATAAATATTTAACCTGCCTTTTAAGTTTTCTGAGCAAGATAAACAAACTACATTATTGGTGAATCTGCCTTGGGGTTAGTCAATTGTTCCTTTTTTTTTCATACTGTAGCCATTGCCATCCCATTCCTATTAATTTGTTGCAATATGCGCTCCTCTTAGTATGCAGTCTGCTACAGAAAGGCGGGCTGTATGGACTGTTCTGCTGATATGCTTTTAGGGGAAGTTTAATAGGTCTAATTAGCCTGATATCCCGTAGAGGCAGCTAGTAGTCGGTGCGAAAGAGGAGAAAATGAGACTTTCAATAGTGGGTGCATAAAGGAGGAGGATGAGCGTTTCAATAATTTGGGAAAAAAAGGGAGAAGTTAAGGATTTCAAACATTTTGGGGCAGAATGGTAGAAGAAATGGGTTTTGGGAATTCGAGGGTGGAAGATGAAGAACTAAGGTTTTCAAAAATTGAGGGTGGAAGGGGAGAAAAAGCGGATTCTGGGAATTTTAGGGTGGAATAGACAAAAGACAAGCATTTTGGAAAATTGGGCATGGAAAGGAAGAACATGAGAGTTTTGAGAATTTGAGGGTGGAATGTGAAAGTTCAAGTGAGGGTTGTTAAACCTTGTTGAACTAACCTAGGCACACCAAGAGAGAGGGAGGGAGGTGAATTGGTTATTTAAAAAAAAATTTCAATGGATTTTTTTTTATTATTAAACCAATCACAAACGTAACTAGAAAAACTTAATAAAAAAAAATAATTTTGCTCATTTTGATTTTCATAACAAATATCAATGACAATATTTTTCTTTATTTTTTTTTTTCAAAATTTTTATTTTCTTTTTCCAACAAGAATCAAACCAAACATAACTTGATAATCAACATAGATTTGCAAGAATAACAAATGTGCAATAAAAAAATGCAGGAAAAATAAATGCGCGGAAAGTAAAGTAGAACGAGCACACCAGATTTTATAGTGGTTAAGTCAAAATTTAACCTACATCCAATCCCTAGAGTCATTTTCAGGCATTTCACTAAACCTTTAGTGACTCTCCTTTAACCCTCATAATAAGGCAGATAAACCCTCACAATAATCTTTTCCACCAGTCCGGTGCGATAGAGTATTGGAATCCTTTTCACCCTCCTGGTGACACAGATAACCTTAAAGCTTTTTCCCACTCCTGGTGAAGGCAACGAACTTGGAATCCTTTTTCACCCTCCTAGTGAATGTAGAGAGCCTCAATCTTCAGACTTGAAGTCTTTCTTCCCAGAGCTACCCAAGAGACCAACAAAGACACTTGGAGGAATTAAGGCAAAAGCTTTCCTGGAGCAACCACGTGAACTCTCTTATATTACTTCTCCCTGTCACACACTTCTCTCTCTCCAAGCTCTTAGACCTCATAAAGCTCTCACATAGAATTCCTACAATAGCCAAAGACTTCTCATGAGTTTAATAAGAAAGTTTTTATACAAGGCTTTAAAAAATCCTAAAATTTTAATTCAGCCGAAACTGTTCGTATAGTATGATTAGTTAAAAAATCTATTTCGTCTAGTACGGTTTGAACAGCTTCAATACATTATGTTTAAGTTTTTCATAGGGATCATATGGTATGATAAGTTCAATGTTCTTCAGATTATATAGAACAAACTCTGGAACAATTGAAATCGTCTATGCTATTCCTCCAATCATACCTGTGCTCACTATTTTCATGGTGGTGTTATCTTGCAGTGTAACCTTGTCTCCTACCCTGTCCTCCAACATGATGAATTGATTTAAATCTCCAATCATGTGTCGTGAGCATCCGCGTTGAATGTGCCCCACACCACGAAGCTGTCACACACTTCTCTCTCTCTCCAAGCTCTTAGACCTCATAAAGCTCTCACATAGAATTCCTACAATAGCCAAAGACTTCTCAAGAGTTTAATAAGAAAGTTTTTATACAAGGCTTTAAAAAATCCTAAAATTTTAATTCAGCCGAAACTGTTCGTATAGTATGATTAGTTAAAAAATCTATTTCGTCCAGTACGGTTTGAACAGCTTCAATACATTATGTTTAAGTTTTTTATAGGGATCATATGGTACGATAAGTTCAATGTTCTTCAGATTATATAGAACAAACTCTGGAACAATTGAAATCGTTTCATACCTGTGCTCACTATTTTCATGGTGGTGTTATCTTGCAGTGTAACCTTGTCTCCTACTTCGTTGCTTCGCTCGAGAGGGAGAGATCGCACGGATTGCTCCTTCAGTTGCTTCGTTGTTGTCCGACTTTGCTTCAAAAGAGGCAGAGATTACATGGTCACTGCTTCGCTCCCCATCGCCGTTCGACTCCGACCCCTTCGGTGTCATCCGACTTCGTTCCTTCGCAAGAGGTACAGAGATTGCACGCGTCGCCCCTCCGGCTCCTTCGTTGCCGTTCGACTTCGCTTCGTTCGGCTCCCTCGTCGTCCGACTTCATTGCTTCGTGGGAGGAGTAGAGATTGCACAGGTTGCTCCTTCAGCTCCTTAGTGGCTATCCGACTGTGCTCCTCCGACCCTAACCTGATTGGGCTCCCTCTCTCCCTTTAGTATATTATATATTATATATAATATAATATGATAATATGATGTTATATATTATATTGTTATATTAAAAATAATATAATATTAAATATATTATAAAAAAAAAGAAGAAAGAAGAAGAAAGGAAGAAAAAAAAAAGAGAAGAAAAAAATTTAGAAGATGGAATTTCAAACGGGTGTTGAAGACCCCGAGCTGTCGTACCTTAGGTCCGGCCGGGATTGTTTTAAATTCGAAGACCCGCGTCGTGATCTTAAATCCGGGTGGATGGTTTTAAATTCGAAGCCCCTGCGTCATTGATCTTAGATCTGAGCGGGATGAAACAAAATTCGAAGATCCACACAGTCGATCTTAGATCCTAGTGAAATGGTTCAAAATCGAATACCCTACGCTGTCGACCAAAGATCCGGGTAAGAAAAAATTACGGCAGTGCCGTCCCGATTTCTCTCTCGGTGGGGATGAGATGTCGGGAGGTTGTCGAAATTTCCTGGAAAATTATAGAATTTTTTTTTTAAAATAATTGGAGAGAAATTCAATTCGAATTTTAATTTATCAATTAATTAATGAATTTAAATTCATTAATTAAAATAAATTGAATTTAAAATTTATTGATTGAAAAAAAAAATCAAGAATAAGTTTAAAATTCGATAGCGTCTCAAATCCGAGGGCTTTTAAAAATTATGAGAGTTTTAAATTTAGAGAGCTTTGAAATTTAAATTTGATTAATTTGTTAATTAATATTTTAATTAATTGAATAATTATAAAATAAAAAATGCATTAAAAAAAGGGGAGGGGGAAGTTCTACTAATTGGTATATACAATATTGGTTTCCAACTCTCCAAAACACTCAGCGAATTCTCTCAACACTGTACAAACAAATCTATAAACTCAAACGAGTACAAAACAACACTCTGCTAGCACCCCTATAACTGTATCCCTTGTGGCTACGAGCTCTTGCAATTATCCGCGAATTCCCTAAATAGCTGCAAGTGCCACTTACCTACAAACAAACAAATGAAGAGTCCGTACATCATAAATAAATTGAATGAATGCTGAAAATCTAAGCTATTGCAGGTAGAACAGAGTACTAGAAAACAAGAAAAGCTAAGTACGAAAAGCTAGTAGAGCAACAGTGCTGAAAAAACAGGTAGAGTATTAGATTACTGTAGTAGGAAAAATACTACGAACACAGAACAACTAAAATACTAATGCCAGTGTCAAATCTTCGAAGTCTCAAAATCACAAACTCAAACCAACTCAAACAAGTACATAACAAACCTCCCAATATTGTACAAGCAACTACTGTCTATATAATCACATAATCAAAACTCAAAACCTTTGGGCAGCCTTATTTATAAGGACTTGGTTGTAAGACCCACTACCCGATAACTTTCAAAGGAAAGCAGTAAACCCGACTTTAGGGGAAAGTTTTAGGTAAAATTAACCTAACCCATAACCTCCAATTAAAACACCGGCCACTTCTAATAGAAGCCGTAAGTCCAAATTTTTTTGAAAAATGTTTAGGTGATAATACAATCCTAGACCCCTCATTCGGGCAGTCTAGTCTATAGGACTTGATTGTAAGACCCACAACTCGGGACACTTAGCATACAGGGTTAGATCGTAAGACCCATTATTAGGCAACTTTAAAGGAAGTACTAAGACTTACCCAACTGAAATCCTCGGGTTACTTCTAAGTGAAGTCGTAAGTCTCATACGTTAGGGAAATTTTTTTAAATGAAATATATCGACCCTAACAATCCTGCAAATAACCAGGCAACTTCCTAAG